GCACGCCCTTGGCAGGTACAACCGACACCTTTCTGGGAGGTGAAGGCCGTGACCCCTCTCCCTGCCCCCCACACGCTGGCAGCCAAGGAACGTGTGGCCCTGGTGACCCCTGCCCCGGCCGTCCCTGCGGCGTGGCTGGGTGAAGGAGCCACCGTCACCGAGGAGCCCCCTCGGCGCTGTGCCACCCTGCAGCAGAGGTTTGGTGAAGTGCCACCAAGGAGGCTGGCAGTGGCCATCTGCACCCTCCCTGCCAGCACCACAGGCACCCACCACTGATGGCATCTCCCCAGTGCTGAGCAAGAGCTGAAGGGTGGGGCAGGAGGCTGGGGCCAGACTCTGATTTTCAGTGTTGCCCAGTGACAGGCACAAACTGGAACCCAGGAGGTTCCATCTCAACACGAGGAGAAAATTCTTTGGTGTGAGGGTGGCCAAGCCTGGAGCAGCTGCCCAGAGAGGCTGGGGAGTCTCCTGCTCTGGAGAGATCCCAAACCCACATGGATGTGATCCTGGGCACCCTGCTGTGGGCGAGCTGCTGGAGCAGGGGGTGGGATGAGATGATCTCCAGAGGTCCCTCCCAACCCCCACCGTGCTGGGATCCTGTGGTGTAACATCTGCCACAGTCCCCAGGGAGCCTGGCCTAGCCCTTTTGCAGAAAACAGACCAAAATGCTCCAGTTCTGGGTTTGTTTTTTGTTCCCCAGGCAGGGCACGTGCAAACTGGGATCCTCTGCTCATCCTCTCTCCTTCTCCATCTCATGTGGACTCACAAGGTGGAAGCCCCTATGTGTGGTCTCCCCTCAGCATCACTGTGCCCCTTCTGAACACTCTCTTAACACCACAGGCAAGCAGCAGCATTTTCTAAGAGGAAGAATCAACCACTGTTGAAATTATTCCAGAAAATTCTCCACTCTTTAAGCACTGCCAGGCACCTCACCAGGGCCGAACCACCACAGAGAGCCCGTGTTTAGGGGAGTGACACCAGCACACGCTGCTCCCAAAGGGACTGGCCAGGATGAAAAGCCCACAGGGACAGTCGGGATGGGTGAGGGAACAGACTGGCAGCAGGACTGGCACCCCCCTCGCTTCCCGTTCTCCACTCCTGCTCCCGGTTAAGAGCCACAGTCCCTGCACCACAGCAGCGACTGCTACAGCCACGGTAGAGCTCCACCCCCTTTCCAAAAGGCTTTTTTCCTCCCTAAAATAAAGCAGAGGTTTCATCTGGTGGCTCCAGGGACAAAGCGCAGAGGTGACAGCCAGGGTGCAGGTGACCCCACTGCGTGGCCGCTTCCTCTCCGCTGCAGAGGCCAAAATGGTCAGAGTTCTACATCCCCCCTGCAGCAGGGAGGGGGCACAGGGGGGGACAGGACCCTGCTCCCCCTCCCCAAGGTCCCTCTGGCCCAGCGAGGTTCAAAACTCGGGTGCTGAGGCTGAGGGCATGGAGGAGCGCCCAAGGGACACCGAACGCACAACTTCCTCCCTTTATTCTTCTGAAGGAGAGCCAGGCCTGTAGAGAAAAGGAAGTGCCGAGATCGCACGCCCTGCAGATAAAACAAGGGTTCTGTCAGTGCCCAGCCCCTGGCAACGCTGCTGCCCCTGCCAGGGCTCAGCAGAGAGGCTGCACCCACGGGATGCCACCAAGCTCCTGGGCCGCCCCCGCAGCGCACCTCCGGACAGCGCTCCTGGAGCAGGTTTCCACCAAGGAAGCCACGCTGGCGTAAACACACCAGGAAACACCTTCCTGCGGGGTAATTAAGGAGCCCTTCTCCTAACGAGTTAACGAACGACATGTGTGGTCAGGACAAATTACAGCTGTGCTGAGCCAGGCGCTCGCTGCCTGCCGCGCTCCGCGAGCCAGGGTGGGTCCGGGGCGCGTGAGGATCGCCAGGAACGTGCTCGCTGGAGATAGAGGGAGCCTGGCGCCCGGGGCAGGTCCCCTGAGCACCTGGGTGGCTGCCAGCAGGGCTCCACAAAGCCCAGCAGCCTGGGCTGTGAGGAGATCCCATGGATTTAGCTTCAACCCTCAGGTTTCTGAAGCAGAAACACGGCGTGGAGGCAGCTGTCGCCCACGCCAAGCAGCACCCCAAGGCTGCAGAGCTGCATCCACGGCACAGCAGAGAGATTTCCCCTGCAAGCACCTCTCCAAGCCACCCCTGCCCCACAGCAAGAGGTGGCGTGGTGAGGAATGCCAAGAGCAGCAAGGAGCCCGCTCACCAACCTCGTGTTAGGGCGTGGAACTTGAACGCTGCAGATCCTCACGCTAGAAAAGCATAGGTGAGATCCAAGGGAACAATTCCACACAGGGCACATCTCGGTGATGTCCACCCCAGCAACAGCCCTGCTCCCAGAACCAGGCTCTCCTCAATGCAGGAACACAAAAAAAAACCCCAAAAAAACCACCTGAGACCCACCTCAACAGCAAAAGTTTTATTGCCTGGCTCTCTGGGCGGCGCGATCGAGCCGCTCGCCTCACTGGGCTTTCTCCTCACAGAGCTGTTGGTGGGGTGTCCTCAGATCTGCCCTGGGGAAGCTCCAGCTCTGTTTTCATCCCTCCTCAGCCCGCAGACAGCAGCAGCTCATATCTGCCCCCCTGGAAGGAGCTGTCTGTGGATCCAAGCAGCCCGCTTCCGCTGCTGCCCCGTGCCAAGCCCACGTGGAGGAGCCGCGTTCTGCAGATGAGTCACAAACCACACTGGAGACAGGCCCTTTGTGCCGTTATTCTGCCCCCTTTCCCTCTTCTCCAGAGCTCTGCTAGCTGCCAGAGGACAGAGGCTGTGGTCAAAGATCTCACGATGGAAAATTCTGTGAAGAAACAAAGAAAGACATCCCATAGTGCAGATTTTTAAGTGGGTTGGTTTTGGTTTAAGCGCCACACCTGTATGTTTTATCAGCACAACATGCAAAATATTCTCTTTGTGCTTAAGTGTCTGCTCCATCAACTAACCAAAAAATGATCTAACCAACCTGGACAGGTGCCAAGAGCCACCTCCAGAAACTGGGCTTGGGGAGAGGGCTGCACAGCAGAGCTCACAGCACTGAAAGCAGCAGCAGGTGAATTATGAAAGGACAAGAGGAAACAGCCTCAAGTTCCACCAGGGAAGGTTTATGTTGGCCCTGAGTAACAATTTCTTGCCCAAAAAGTGTTGTCCAGGGCTGTGCCAGGCTGCCCAGGGCAGTGGTGGAGTCCCCACCCCTGGAGGGGTTTCCAAGCCGTGGAGATGTGGTGTGAGGGACACGGGGCAGTGGGGACCTGGCAGTGCTGGGGAATGGCTGGACTTGATGATCTTAAGGGTCTCTTCCAACCAAACTCATTCTATTTGTATTACTTTGGTGCCTCAAAACTCCAGTTTTGAGATCCCACTACACCACAGTGGGGAAGCAGAAGAGAAAGTCAGCGTGCAGCTCAAGGATGGTGCTGCTGAAGGCAAAGCCTGGCTGGGTTTCAGAATAAAGCAGCTCCTTAGACACGCACAGCTCTGTTCTGCAGCTCCACAGGGCCCCTAACTGTATTTCACAGTCAGTTCAGAGCATCACCTCTGGAACACTCACCCTACAAGTGAGCAACAGCTCCCTGAGCTCCTGGCAGTTTGCTGCACCCCTGAGACCAACCTACCGCCTGTTTCCTGTGGATGTTGAGGATGTGGATGTCCTCGCTGCGGTACTCCTCGTCGTGCTGATCCAAGGGAATTCTCTCCAGCTCAAAGTCCATCTGAAGCAGCTGGTTAGCAGAGAACACACAGAACGATTCAGATGACACCCCCTGCCCTTTTGGACCGAGTGTGTTGAGCTAAAAAGGTCCCACAATGTACTGCAAGACACCTCAGGAGGCCGGAACCATCACGCTCAGACCATTCCACTAAAGGCCTCTACAACTGCACAAGTGATTCCCCCTTCCTGCAGCACATTTACTCTCGTTTTCACTATTTCAGTGCCAGTTCAAATCTACAGGCACCGCACAACCTTTCAGAAGAAGGTAGAAGCTTGTGCTAAACCGTTCAGCTTCCTCCGAAGCGCTGCGCCAAACCGCAGTGCCTGCCTCCGTCTGCCAACCCCAACTGGAGGGGTGGGGGGGGGAAAAAAGAAGCTAAAAAACTCCAGCACTGACTCCACAACATGCTCGGAGGATTAACTCATCTGAACCCTGGCAAGCTGAGGAAGGAAATAACAGGAGAGCAGAAATCATCCAGAAACACCTACACCTACTGTGGGAGCGGCCCCCCGTCAGAGCGGATCTCAGCCCTGCTCATAGCCAGGTCCCCACAGGACTTCAAGGCACGGCTAATTATTAAAGAGGTGGTTTTATTAATGCATATAAATCACCCTGGAAGTCCTGCCTTTCTTTTTTTGTAGTGTTATTCTGATTACCTATAATCCAGAAGCCCTGCCCAAGGGCTGCTCTCCAGCAGACTTCACCGGTGCAGAGTTAAACCCTGCACTGAGCATCATCCCCACAACCCAAGGAGGGATTCAGCTGTTACCTGAGTTCCTTTGCTTCATCAGGACTATTTAATTATATCACCTATTAATCCTCTTTCAGCAGAGGGGGGAAAATTTTTGCACAAGCAGCTTTATCGTTTAGCAGAGTTTTGAGTTCCTGAGCTACTCTGAAAAACTTTACCTGCATTTTCCCCTCTGCTTTCAACAGATTTTCACCAGACTGATTTTTAATCCTTCCAGGGATTGACAAGATCAAGACATCCACTGCAGAAAGAAGAGAGCAACCTATGGCTACTTCACCTGCTCCTATGAAAATGATTGTTTTGACAGGTATTGCCTCACATCAGGAAGCCCTTTTTGGGAATCTGGAAGGTATTCCAAGCTCCAGAGGCTCTTAACCTCTGCCTGGATCAAAAGCATCCATACAGTTAAGATCAGTAAGGCACAAAAAGTTTGACCTACTGAAGGAAGGAAAGTTCACTGAATATCCAGAAAGTTTCTCCTGGTGAGCTGGACAGTAACTTCAAGAGTCACCATCTAAATTTTCTGCCTCATTTAAAGACAACGTGCTTCTCCTGCTACAAACTCCACTTTGTGCAGTCAGCCTGAATTTCTGCTTGTAGCAATTTCCATCAACATTCAGCTGATCCCATACAAAGCCCTTCTTACATCCACCTCCCAGTGCTCAAAAAGCACACGCTAAAAACACTCACCTCAAAGTATTTTCTCTCAATTGCAGGGTTCTTGCCCATAGTCCTCTGTTCATAACAGCACAAGACGCACGTGTCAGGGCCAGTGAGGTCCTTCAGTGTCTTCAGTAAGGGCTCCAATGACTGTCCAAAAGAGGTGAAGTATTTCCCACTTAGATTTCAAGTTCACTGTACTGGTATGATAGCCTCTAAACTAGAGAAAGTCTTCACCCAAGAGAGCCCTTTCCCGTTTTGCTTTTTCAGGGAATTATTTTTAGTACTTTAACTGGGACAAAAAGAACATGGGGGCAAGCTGGAAAGCAGAGGAGAAAGGGAGACTGCACAGAAGAGCCTCACAGACTGGCCAAGGGAACTGAACTAGCATCAAAGCCCCAAACACCCCTCGCTGCCGAGTGGGCATTTCCTTCAGGCACACAACAACTACTTCTTGACATGTTTCTTGAGAGTTTTCTCAACCATTCTTGGAACTATGTTTGGAAACAGGTCTACCACGCAGGGAGCCAAGGCAAGGGGCTGGTCAGCCCCCTGGGGCACAGGGTTCTTCAGGTCATTTCTCTTTTCCTGCAACCCCTGCTAGCTCTCTGCACACATCCTACAGAGCTCCAGCTGAGGAGATGGGGCAGACTACAGCAACCACATAGCTGGAGCCTGATTCCTCCTTCTGCCTGCCCAAGGGAAGCCTGAGGAGAACCCAAACATTGCAGGTGTGGCACTATTCAATTTAATTTACCAACACATTAAACAGTTCACCACTATCAGTCACAACGTTTTGCTTCACGCTTCAATTCCTAATGTAAAACAAACAAACAACAATCCATGGGGAGAGGGCAAGGCACAAATATTAAGTTCAGTGTTTTTTTAAACATAAAAAAAGTCTCTGGTTGAACCTCAAATGGCCTTAAATCTGTTTAAAATGCTTTCTCCAGTCCCGTTCTACGCATTCCTCTAAACCATGGGGACCAAGACACAGGTACAGTATTTATTTGAACACTTCTCACACCAAACCCACGCCCTTCCCAAAGGAAGTTGTTTTTTTTTTTTGCTAAGTCCTTATTTACCTCCTCATAGTAAATGCAATCAGCCATTAGGATATAATCGGGGGGAGGCTGAAATTCTGTGACATCTTCACCCCTAAAAAGAAGAATAAAAAGAAGTGAAAACAAGTAACAGCACAAGACAAATCACTGACGGAGAGAGCACGAATTTAAGTATGTTCTTACACCGAGCTGCGCTTTTACAGCAGTATTTCCAAGTCTATTTGGCAACTGAACACGGCCACAGCCCCCGCTAACGCCGAACAGGAACATTAAAGGATCATACAAACCATTTCAGTACCTTGGCTCGGACTGACCCTGTCACCAGGTGCTTGTTTTTTTCTATATTAATCGTCAGCAGCTCCTGCAGCTCCTCAAGGTCCGTCACCGTCACGTTCGCCCTGTAACACAGGCGGGGTTACGGCCCCCTCGCACGAAACGGGCGGTTTTACCAGAATCGGGGGAGGTTTCAGGGATAACGCCACGAAGGAGAGGGCAGAGGCGGAGGAAGGGGCCGAGGGTGAGAGGTGGAGGAAGGGGCGCGGGGAGCGGCCTCCCCGCCCCCGGGCCTCCGCTCCGC